CCAGACATACCTGAAATGATGTATGCCTTGGCTTGCTGGACAAATAATTTTTGTCAAAACCACCTGCTCTAGCTTTTACATCATCAATGTCTTGTCAAAATGATAATGATATTCTTAACCTGTCACTATTTATCAAACATAGTATGAGACTAAGAAATGAACTGTTAAACAATTTAAAACGAAATTTGACAATAGCCTGTCATTTTGTTCTCTTCATTGTGTGTATTGTATATTATCTGTATATTGTATATTATTTGTAAATGTATATTTGTATGTAGGCCGGAGACCTTAAATACAATAAACTCTTTTGATTTGACTTGCTGGGTCTCCTACCACTTGAAGCTGACACACACACCAAGAAACTGATATTCTTTGGGAAACTGATTGATTACAATGAATACACTACTGCTCCCACAGAAGATACTTACCTCCAGGATGCTCCAATACCATCATAAGAGTCACATGACTTGCTTGACAACGACATTAGAATAATGTCGAAACGTCGCCTATGCAGAATAAAGAAGTTGTATATCCATAAAAATAGTCCTCATCCTTCGCTTTTAGCAATATTTCAGCAATATCACGGCGGGGAACACCAGAAATGGGCGCAACTCTGGAGGATAAATAAACCATATACTATGTAATTATTTTGGCAAAGAGTATGGAATGGGTGAGTACTGTTCTACACCGATAAGCAATATTCCATCAAGAAAACAGCGGAGGTACCAGAATTTGTACCCGGGAAGTGAATTGAATCTGAGCATGGCGCAGTGAAACTGAGTGAGTGAGTTTCATTCCGGCCCTCATCAAGGATGGTTAATGAACCGAGGACGTAAAGCACGTGCTTTTCGGAAATCTCACCTTTACAAACACATGGTCGCCACGCACATGTCTCTTCATTACGCAGCAGGTATGAGTGGGACCGACAGCGACGATACGTTGATTCCAGCTTCACAGTGTGAGTTTTTGACAATAAGTGAAAACTCTGAAGATGATGAAATTCTATGCACAGCACTGGAAACTGCGGAGGAAAGGGATCTTCTTCAGCAACATTACAGCAATATTAGTGACGTGAAGTAAGAAGTCCACGTGAGTGAGAATGTGTTTGGCGGCGGTAGTGGGACGCATAGTGATCATGAAAGATTTTCTGTACCGTTGATGGATTCTGAAATTGCAGGATTATGCGAGACAAGTGTACCTCAAAATACCAAACAGAATTTACGTTGGGCCTGTGGTATTTTTGAAACTTGGAGAAATTCACGTAATCAGAGAATTTTACGAGGGGAAACATCCGGACAGCGTTTAATAGCTCACAAACTCGAGTTTAATAGCTCACAAACTCGAGGATCTGAACGACGATGAACTTAATTACTCTCTGTGTCGTTTTGTATGCGAGGTGCGCAAAAGCGATGGATCTGAATATAATCCAAAAACTCTCCGGCAGTTAGTGCTGTTATTGAACATGCATTTGACGAAGTGTGGTCGGGATTTGTAATTCCTGTCGGATAACGTTTTTCTCGAACTGCGAAATATATTGGACAGTGTAATGAAAGAAGGATCGAAACGTGGTATTGGAATTCGTACCAAAAAGGCTAAGGTTATTTCCTATGAACAACAGAAAACTATGTGGGCTATGGGCATCTTGGGAGTTTCGTCACCACAGGTTCTTTTGGATACAATGCTGTACCTCATTGGATTAAATTTTGCTCTCAGAAGCGGCGATGAGCACAGGAATCTTACAGATGACCAATTCGAAATTGACAAGGATGACACTGGAGAATTTCTTCTTTATTCTGAGAAGACTAGTAAGTGTTACCAGCGTGGACCTAAGGATTTTGGTGTTCCTCCAAAGTGTGTTCGGGCATACGCCAGTGACGATCGTAACAAGTGTGTAGTTGCGATATTCAGAAGTACTGTAGTCTGCGTCCGACCAACTCCCGTGTCATGTATTTGCGACCACTGGTGAAGCCCAGAGATGATCAGTGGTACAGGCAGCAGGCTGTTGGAAAACACACTCTGCAGCAGACAGTTGGCAAGATGTGTAAACAAGCAGGCTTTGAATTTTACCTTTTTAACTTTTCATTAAACATGTGAATGTGGTGGTTTTTGGTTTCACAGTATGGCGTGACCATATTTCTGATTGAGGCTGCCCTTGTACTGTAAACGTAAATTGACAAGGCTTCTGTATGACTGTTCAAAGGGGCGGTATTGAAAAGCGTTGAACATATAGCCTCATTCCTTACTTTGTTAGACTAGCAATAATGTAAATTGTCTTATTGCAGGTTTTTACAGCAATCACTCACTCACTCAGAGCCACATGCGCCACTCGACTCTTTCAGTCAGGCATTGATGAACATCTAATCACCAGAACAACGGGACATCGGAGTACCGCTGTGAGAGAGTACAGGCGAGTTAGTACAGCTCAGGAGAAAGAACTGTAACGTGATCCAATGTGGCGGTGAACTCCCTAAAAGACGACGAACTGCTGACTCCAGTGTCGACGTAGCTACCACTACCACGCCCGCAGTCTCGCAAAGTGTGACGGACGATCACGTCGCGATTTCAGTGTCTGTTGTCATTAAAAAGTAATAAAAAGTAATTATAGTCGAAATTGTTCTTTTCATTTGAGAAAGTAGTTCCGTCCGGGTTGTAACCGCCACATCGGATGGTTATAGTATGGTCGAAGACAAAGGAAGCATGCGCTAAAATAGATATATAAGGGTTGTTAAGATGTATTGGGGGCACGACTTTACATTTAAGCTCATTTGTCTGCTAACATCGACGTTTCAAGACCTCTCACTCGACTTCATTGAACTTTCCACAGCTTTCAACAATCTTCAATCAGTACATCCGTTTTACTGGGAATATCAATACTTTTTGATTTGTCATCCAATAGTATTGTATTAGAAGTCTGTGCTGTCATTCATTGCAACCATGTGTATTCATAACACACGTGAATATTATAGTTTCGGCTGTGTTTTATTATACTGGTTTATTGGGGACTCACGAATCGTTTATCTCAGTAGTTTCTTAACCGTAACAAATGACTAAAATGTGGTGACATCTTCAGTGATTGTGTCCAGTATACTATTAATTTGTGCTCTCTTTGAATTTGTTTTGAATATTCCATATGATGTATATGCTATAATCATACAAACTGTGTTTCTATAAAAAGACGTTTGTAATGTTGTGATATTTTGACTGTTGATGTGGGTGTATGTGAGAAGAGAATGAGTATGTTAGCAAGGCAGGTTTAGTTAATAGAGTGTATTTACTTTTAATTTGAGGTTTGTGTTTCCTCTAGTATGTGACAATTATCAATATGTGATAAGTGAGAAAAAGAGGAATTGTACTTTCAGGGTATCAGGTTATCAACAGAAGACGTCTATGGTTTGTGAATTACAGTTTTCGATAAATGTACAGTATGGCGGGTTTTTTCTAAAATGCATACATGATACGTGGATGTGTTTCTTAATGTTCCCACTATGAGTGACCAGAAGCAATACATTTTCATTTTGTGACAAATCCAAACTAAATTTGTCCTGCTCCGTGCTGCTTGTTGACGGTTAGAGGTTTACATTTACTTTTGATAGAACTATTGTGAGTGAGTGAGTTAATATGTATCGTCACATCGGCAATATTTCAGCCATATCGTGCCGAGAACAGTTTATAATTGTATTAAAGATCAATAAAGTTAGAACTTCACAGTAAAACTACTAGTGTATCACAGATATCCATTTAAAACTAGTAATTAAATCTAAAATATTGGAATGAGTGAGTGACAATACAATAATAAAACAGGTTGTAGATTGCCAACGACTGAAGGCAGATCACCATACTAGGGACCATGGGGTTCCATTTGCTACCTGCATGAACCCTAGCTGGATTTACACCATCCCTTCAGCCGTTAGCAGCGTAAAGAAATCTAGCCATACATTTAAAAAAACACATATTCTACGATTAAAAATAGTCGAGAGTTTCAAGTTACTTTGAATGTGTGTGGACTTACGTATCCTCTCAGCAGGACAATAATTGATAGAACTATAAAAGACTATAAAAGAAAATATGTAAAAGAAATGAGCAGCACTAAAGACCTGTGTGGTCAGTGAAGAAATACAAGTGGCACATCAATATTATATCGACTGGGATTTGTGGAAAACAGAAACCTTTAGCACTTGGAGCAATCAAATGTGGGTGAATATGGGTGCAGGCACATGTGTTGGTGGTGGTTGGAATAGCCTGGGCGCATAGTGGGTTTATGGTGTTGGTCCTCTGAGATACATGTATATCATCTAATTATCATGGAGACTCCATCGTGTGGCGATTTAACCTACACCATCAGACTTGTCCATGTTGCATGCCCTTAGAAGCATCTCTAGATGGGGTAACAATAACTTGCATATTAAATTCTATTTGTACAATACTTTCTGGGATCGACCGATCGACCTTCCGTTCACAGGGCAGATGTCTGCAAGCCCAAGGAGGCAGCTAGTGGATCGAACCAGCGACCTCCGTCTCTCTGCACAGACGTCTGTCCAACAGCCAACTGTGGTAGCTTGGGTATTGAACCATCGAAATTCCAATCTCTGGACAGACGTCTATCTGACAGCTCACGAAGGAAGTGAAGGTATAAGAACCGCCTTCTATTGAGTCTCTGGGTAGATGTCTATCTGCCAGAAGACGGTTGCAGCGAGGGGATAGAACCTCCGACCGTGCAATCACTGTACACAGGGCAATCTGCAAGCCCACGGAGGCAGCGAGGGGATTACACGGTCGGGAATCTGGGTAGAGGTCTACTTACCAGCAGACGGTTACAGCGACGGAAAGAACCACCAACTGTCGGTTACAGCTACGGATAGAACCGTGCAATTTCTGGTTAGGCGTCTATCTCGCAGTCCAAGGAAGAAGCAAGGGAATGGCGAATGGGGAATCAAAATTTTCTAACAAAAGTAAAAACAGAATTTATGTCAATAATGAACACATTAATTGTCAAGATTACCATCTTTCGATACTCTTTATTCATTTATGACAATCAAGCAGAGATTGACTTACAGTCTTTCCATCACAGTATATGTGACATCATCACTTAACACGCATGTATTTATTTGTTTATGAATTAGCTATACAACGGAGGTCTGTGAACAATCGAGCTGAACTACACAATCCAGTGATTGATACTGTGAGCAACGACCATAGAGGAAAGAGGACCTGCTGTCACCTTAATCTCCCATGGGATCATAAAGCATTAACTAATCTTATATGAAGTAAGCATTACCAATAAAAGAGAGACTGGGGATGTTTAACGCAACTGTTTAGTAAAGGCCAGGTTGCAGTGGTTCAGTAATAGTGATCTCACGTGTAATCCCAGCTGACATTTGTTTGACAACAACTGTTCTCACCTGTAATGCCTCTTAGTACTTTCAACCAAATTTCTCATGGGATAATAAAGCATTTACTTTTCTCAAAGTAAGCATTGCCATAAAAGGTAGAGTGAGAGGGTTTACACATCCCGTTAAACAGTTTTCAGGTTATATAACGCTTTATTACCTCAATGTGGAAGGTCACATTGCTGAAACCCTAGAGGAGAAGAAGATGGGAAACTAAAGAGCTTGAATACTGGTCTGATGGACCTGAAAGTATAGACAAAACTGCTTCCGTTGGTAGGAGAGTGGACTAGAACAGAAATCAAATGAGCAAGTTTCGTATTTGTAACCAAATCAACTCTAGATGTTACACTTAGGTACATCACACTTTTCCCAGCGTGAATTTCGGTCCATTGTGTGACACCATAAAAATCCGGCACGAGATGGGTCACGGCAATAGTTAGCAGAGCCTGTCACAGTTTGGGGTGTGTCGAATCCTGGGATCCAGTACTTCGCGTCTTCCTTATAAGTGTGACTGTGTGGCGTCTGAAAATCCCATCGCTGACAGACCTTGCCGGTTAAGGTTGTTGATCGAGTTCCGGTGTATAACGATTTCCTAGCAGGTGCTGTCCAGCAGCCAGAGACTGTCAAGGAACAGGAAATAGTTGATAAATAGAGACATACCTATCAACTGGGCAAGGCAAATCGATGCATCTGGGGAAATAATCAATTCAAAACGTTTTTATTTTTTACATTGAATAAGTTGCACCCTTACGGTTGACACACTTCACGTTGACCATCGTCCAGTTCCCGTCTTTCTGACAAAAACTCATTGTCTGTTGACCAGGGTGTATGTTCACCAACCCCTTCTTGCATCTGTACTGGGCCAGAAGATCTGTTCGACTGAAGACAACGTCTGTGCCTTCTAGTGTACTTGGAGAACCACAATCTACACTCAGCTCTGACGTCTGGTTAGCTGTAAAACAAATATACATAAAATCATTACGAAAGTGTAGGCACCTTTTGATATAGGATATCTTCCCATAATCGATATCAGTACCGATTGCTGATGATAGTTACTTTTACTTCTCTTTAACATCCTGGACAGCTCCGTTAATAGTAACTTCACACCAAATTAAAACATATATATTAACTGTTTCAAATGCATATTCCAAAGGTCCAATACAGGCCAATTTCTTTCAAGTATTCTTGCATGATATGGTCGTTCACATCATGTTTACTGTCAGTGTAAATCCCTTGCTATTGCAAAGTCCTAGGAATAAAGCGTCTGTGACTGTTCTTCAAGTAGTTACAAAATTTTAGAGCTGTGTGTGGTAAGGAATATAAACCTTCCTGTGGAAAAACATCACTGTGGTTTTGGTTATGTGATCAGGCCCTGATTTATCGAAACAGATTTAAGTTTTTACTCAAATTTCAAACTGAGTTTGACAAATTTAAACAGCTAAATTTTTAACTCAACTGCTTTTTTAAAATAAAAAAAGCCAAAACCACTTAAGCAATTTATCCTCCAAACTCAAATTGTCTATGTTTGAGTTTAATATCGATTTCAGTTCATTCTGGAAAATGCATTTTTCTGCATTTTCTCAAATCTGAGTAAAAACTCTTGACTCAAGTCAAAACTCAGACTCAAGTTTGTTTCGAGAAATCGGGGCCAGAATCAGTAGTTAGGTGACTGCAATCGCTAATAAAGTAAACTGCGTTTATAAATATCAAGCTTATAAAGAATTGATGGATATAAAAACCGTTCTTTCCGGCCTCTTGCAGTATGGATTAGTCGAAATACGTACAAGGAACTAGGGTAATGAGTTCGCTATAACCCTAATTTACTGTATTTTCTATTGTGTCCTCCGACTCGATCAAAAGCGGCCTTTGCACATCTGCACATTCTTTTTTCTACAGTACAATTTAATATTGTAGCTACGTTTAACAAACTCTGATTATGAAAACCTTACAGGATGTTACCTCGTGTGTCAGAAGCTAAAATTAGGATTATTGGAACATTTGTCAGATGTATTCAGGGCATTCCCAAGCATTACTCCAGTCACAGGGCTATACAATAACACGACTGTGCTCCCTGTTTCTCCCGTACCTCCACCCCCCCAGCAGCCTTTCCAGTCCCCCCCCCCTTAACCATTATCCCCATTCGCGTCATGTAAGTATTTCAGAGGATTTGTGTAGGTAAGTCTGTTTTAATTGAATTAAAGAAGCATTACCTAGTTTTGTCTCCATGTAACCGAGACGAGCCTCTTTGTTCTCGTTGTCATTTAACAGCTTCTCTGTAACCGAAAACGTTCGTTTACATGTATGGACACTTGATTGGGATTAATAAACTAAAACATATATCTTTCATCTTTTGAAATATTTGCTAACAGGAAATTCTTCGATTCTGCGTATATGATTTGTATGTTTTTGTGAGTCACTACCAAATATGATAACACTGTGATATTCTGCATTCACACAAAGGACAAGGTATGCTGCCCTACCGATGGCTCCCGGCAAAAACACATGTAACAGCAAGTCAATTGTTCACCTAAAAACACACCGTATCATATGGTGCAAATCACAATATAGAATTAGAACGTGCGGGTATATGTGGTATCACATCTCACGCCAGAACACAACGCAACATTGTTAATTACAACTTGGAAGACCTACGCCACCAGAAAGTCATCGTTCATGATCATGTTCTACCCTTTGTGCAATTGCAAGAACGAAAGCGCAGAATAATATAGTTCCTTTTAAAACTAAAGGCGTAGTTATGTTTAGTTCCAGTCTATGGCGATACCCCACCGAGTCAGGTTATTGGTCTGATTGGTCTGTGTTCCAATTCTATCCACTACACCACTGACGACCTTAGACCAGTAGCAAAGAACAACATAATGCTATTTGCGAAAGGATGACGTACCGATTTGTTTCTCAAGGTCAATGACACGCTTGTCCGTCGTTTTTAGACTTGTTGCTTTGCTTTCTGAAAATACAATTTGCAATGCAATAATTATTAAACAAATTTATTATTATTTACAGACCGCCGCAATATAGCTGCAATATTGCTGAGTGCGGCGTAAAACTAAACTCACTAACGTGGAGTAGGGTTTCTATGAGTTATAGATTCCTAGTCAACTAAGTAAACGGTACACTGTTAGGTGATATCAAAGCTACTTCTAAACAACTGTTCAAGTAGAATACAGTAAATAGTTGTTAAAGATGAAAGATGTGTTAACCAACCAGCCAGCCAGCCACATGTATAAACTCATTGATAACGTGAATTAAATAGTGAGTGAGTGAGTTAAACTTTTACGACACGTCGGCAATATTACAGCCTTATAGCGATGAAAACAAGCGTTCATTTTAAAGTATCTGTCGACAAGGGACAGTAAAAGCAACTAGAATATCATAGTATCAAGAATTAAAACTAAAATTAGCACCAATCTCTAAAATAGGATTTGAAATTAGGACAATACAATATAAAAACGGGATGAGCATCGCCAACTGAAGGTAGGTCACCATCCTAGCTAGGGACCATGGTGAATTAAGTACTATGAATATTGTCATTTACCTGTGTGTGTTTTAACTAATTGCGAAAAGAGAAACGCTCAGTCCCATTGCATTTTATTGGTGAGTAAACAGGTCTGGAGTGAGTGAGTGTGTTGAGGTGAGGTGAAATGGGTTTTACGTCGTGCTTGAGAATATTTCGCTCATATGACGACGTGCATGCGTGTGTATGTGTATGTGCGGCTGCTTGTACTAGCCCAGACTTAAGCTGGTTTTATAGTGCTAGCCCACTGAGATACCATGCCACAGTGAAGCATTAATACCCCACTCAGACACATTATACTGACTCCGAGCCGACGAGTCCTTGTTGTACCCATTAATGCTGAGCGCCAGGCAGGGAGAGTGAGTGAGTGAATGAGTGAAGATTTACAGTCACATGGGCAATACTTCAGACATATCGTGACTAAAACCAGATTAAATTCGCCATTAATACATGTTAATTATAAAGCTTGTCAACAAATGACTGTAAAACAATTAGGTGATCACAATTATAAATATATAAAACTAGTATGTAAATTTAAAATACTTGAAATAAATCTAAACTACAGAAGACATTACAATATACAAAAAACAGTTGAAGGTACATCACCATACTAGGGACTATGGGGACTTACAGAAACAGGTCTGGACAAACCAATGGTTGACATTCTAGAACATACACCAGGCAACAAAAGTATGAAGATTGTGCGTTGGATGACTATGTAATACATACTCACCACTGCTCGTGTCCTTGTTCGCACAGGCTTCATCCCTGGAAGCCAGAAATTGGTCTACGGATGTCTTAAATGTGTCGTAGTTGACCAAAACCCGACAGTAATCACCGGATTTGTTGGCATATCCACAAGCAAACAACAAGACTACACAAAGACAAAGTCGAAACACCATGGTGACAAAGCCTTTAACTGCACAGACTGTATGTCATCCGAGTGAATGTGTGCTTGGGCGTGAAGCCCCGTTATATATATCTGTAACTCTACTGTCAATCAAAATACTCTGCTCGTGTCATAAGAATATGCTTGATGGGTAACTCTTGTGGTGTTAATATGCTGCATTACACGTCCAGTGCTACTTGAACATTGAACTGCCAAACAATACCAAATGAAGAGTACCTTCAATGTAACTAAAGTAGGTCATCAGCATGGCCGTCTTTGGTATCCTTCTCCTCATGATGTACACACTTGTCTACCACTTGTCTGTCACTTGTCTGTCTACCACTTGTCTGTCCATTGTTTAGTACTTGTCGCACACTTGGACATTCATTGGCTTACATTTCAACACAATGAGATCACAGTTAAAGGTCGGTGGTCCCAATCTGGTATTCATAACTAAAGTTATTCCTAACCTTTTTGATTGTAAATAACTACCATAGCATATCTACACACGTACATTTGTCTCTATAGAAGACGAAAATCTCTGATTATGTGAATGCGTGTGTGTGCGTGCAAACACGGGTGTGTATGAGTGCGTGTGTGTGCGTCTGGTCGTGCATGCATGTATATTCGTGTGGCATGCGTTTGGATGCATGCTGAACACTGACTTTTGTACCGCATGAAACAGGCACAGATGTAATAGCGTGAGAGAGGCCATGTTACGCTTATTACAGAAGCTTCATTATCAATTCCCCTGTGTGATTATACAGTTTGCCTTTATCAAAAAACTTTGATGATTTAGTGTTGATGGTATGCCATTGCCATTTCATTTTTCCTTTACATCACTGAAGTAGAAAAGTTTTCATTTTAACACAAAATATGACTCTGCAGATCTATATTATCATTTGTAATTTGACCTGAAGTGGAATAAAGTATTTTATTGTTTACCAATCCAGTTCCATTTAATACTCTCCACTATTTTAATCGTAGAATATGTGTGTTTTTAATGTATGGCTAGACTTGTCTAAATTGCTAACGGCTGAAGGGATGGTGTAAATCCAGCTAGGGTCCATGCAGGAAGCAAATGCACTGTAAGTCCCCATGGTCCCTAGCATGGTGATCTTCTTTCAATTGTTGGCAATCTATTGTCTGTTTTTATATTGTATTGTCATTTATAGTTAAAATATTTTAGATTTAATTACTAGTTTTGAATTTATTTCTGTGATAATCTGTGATTTTCTAACTTCATTCATAAATTTACAACTTTCTCAGTCACTATATGGCTGAAATACTGCCGATGTGACTTCACAATTTAACTCACTCACTCATGCTTGTCGTAAGAGGCGACCATCGAGATCGGGTGCACTTACCCTGCATCACCTAACAGCCATCTGTCAATCCCAGCAGTCTATGCTGTTGGTTTGAAGCATAAGCGAGTCATGAACTGATCCAGGCCACTTTCACACTTGTGAACCTTTGGATTATAATTATAATTATTTCCAAATGCCACTTAAGGAAATTATTTCATCAACCATGCATTCGCTATTGAATACTAAGTTATCTAATAACTTTCTCTGAATTGGTGTGTGACAGTCCAAACGGTACTAGCAACCTCTTTTTGGACCTTATAGCAGAACCCATATTCGACCTTGCATAATGATTGGCTATGAAAACGAATAGGTGACATCTCAGGTCACTGTCAAAGTCATTAATAGAATAAACAAAGTGCGTATCCTTCGGAGTTTTACATTATAATTTCCCATCACGTTTGAATACGGCTAATAAATGTATGCTGACAGTATAACGTAATAAAAAAGGACGTTTCGGGTTATTGTAGTTAGTTTCTAGTTACGTGCCATAGTTCATGGTACGTCACAGACCGCATTTCCGGCATGGAATTCCTAACTGCATACGTAAACCACTTCTTCGTGAGTGAGTTTAGTTTTACGCCGCACTCTGCAATATTCCAGCTATATGGCGGCGGTCTGTAAATAATCAGGTCTGGACCAGACAATCCCGTGATCAACAGCATGAGCATCGATCTGCGCAATTGGGAACCGATGACATGTGTCAACCAAGCCAGCGAGCCTGAACACCCGATCCCGTTAGTGGCCTCTTATAACAAGCATGGATTACTGAAGATCAGTTCTAACCGGGGCCTTCACGGGTACCGTTATTGTCTTCACTGGGTCGCATAATACGTATAACAGTTCCGTCAAAGCAACAAGGCACTTTTCGAAATCTACCAATGTTATAAAATGATTCCTTGATGGTTCGTTGGTCGGATGCTGCCTTTGGGAATTATATTAGTTTTAAACGTTTTACAATAACATTGTATGTGCGGATAAATACCCGTGAGACTGGTTACTGGGATACCCCATGCAGGTCCGCTAGTTCAGAGGAAAACAATTCCTTCCCATAATATCTGAGGGCAATTAAAACCTGTGTCTCCGGCGATAATGCATGAAAACGCTCCGTTTGGGAAGTAAAGTCATGGTGGTAGTGAGTTTACAAGCTCAAAAATAGCATGGCGACTTCGGTCCCGAAACACCCTTGGTCATGATCGTGATCGTGTTGACTCTTCTTCAAATAAGCCGAGCAAAAAGTATGCCGCCATCTTGATTCTCAAGTTACGACAGAAATGTTTGATTTACGATAGGCGCTGGTCGTTCTTAAATTTTCTCTTGACTTTACGAGATGTTTTCACTAAGATCGCTTTGTGGATCGCTTAAGATTTGTGTCTTAAAGTTTCCCAAAACTTTCAAAAGAAATTTAAATTCACCAGCTGTTTTAAATGTAGCATTTCTGTCATTTAAATTTTGGCTAAATTGTCCTACAATCGCCAGCGGCTGAAGGGATGATATAAATCCAGCTAGTTCCCATGCAGGTAGAAGAAGAACTGCAAGTCCCCATTGACCCTAGTATGGTCATCTACCTTCAGTTGTTGATGATATATAGCCTATTTTTATATTGTGTTGTCCCCTATAGTTAAAATGTTTTAGATTCAATTACTAGTTTTACATATATGTCATAGAGTAAACCATTTCAATAAGTTTCTGCAAAACTTCATATATTCAAACAACATAATTGTTTCCATATATATCCAAGGTGTACCGAAATTCTATCCCCTTTGTCTGTTTAATGTATTCAGCCATCATTCGGTGTAACCCTCTTATCATAAACCCCCCTCAGGGCAGGACCCTTAATTCTTAACGACCTTGCACAACGTGGCGTAATGTCCCTATGCATAAAACCCGACTCACATGGTCACTCAGGGAGACCAAGCAGGGAGACCAGTCAGAGACGACGCGACGAAACGGGCCCAGATCACCCACCGAAGCGGACGGACTGTGCGGCTAGTCAGGGCGTCGGCCAAGGCCGTCGCCTCACCAACGACTACGTCGACGATGAAGAATCTCCGTCCGACTTCTGAATGTGTGTAAGTGACAGAGCGGGTCTCCACATCGGGAACATTGGCCACTCGGTCCCGATGTGCGTTCTGTCATGTGATTTCCATCTTATTACCATTTCTACCATTATTCCCAAACCATAATAAACATGGCTGCTGCTGGCGTCAACTATACTGCTGACTTTTGTCTTCCGCCTCTTGAACTACCATCCGAGAGTACCACAACGAACTCTCTTGGACAGATATATAGGGATGCACTAGTTGCTTTACTGTCCTTTGTCGGCAGGTTTTTGTACTATCTATATATATTCTATTTTAATGTCAAGTGTTCTCATCACGATATGGCTGAAATATTGCCGATGTGACGTTAAATAATAACTCACTCACTCACTATCTTAAAGTTACGATAGGTCGCTATCGCTATCGCTACAAACGCTTTGTGGATGGGCCCCCAGACCTATACCATTGTTATTACACATCATGAACATGAGATCAGTACATAGCAGTTTTAGGTGTTTTCCACATCATAACAGGCTGTTCAAGCCACTCCTGCAGCTCACTTCTCGATATGTAATTCTACTGGCAGAGAGTATGGAATGGGTGAGTACCGTTCTACACCTCTTCAAGCAATACTCCGTCAACAACACGGCGGAGGTACCAGACATGACAATTGTACCATTGAATTGAACTGAATCTGACTGGTGAGCATGGCGAAGGAAAGTGAAATCACAAGGATTTATGTAAGTGAAATCAGCTTAATGACCCTGTAGGGCGGTTTTGGTAAATCCCTAACGCCATCATCATGAAACTGGGACACCCCTCCACTCTTTTGACAAAGAAACAAAACGGGTGCAAGAAAACCTTCATTGAAAGAGTCGCACTGAATCGCTGCTGTGAAAAATATGGCCACGAGTATTGTCCAGGTCACAATTCGTATAATGTATGTTTCTTATGTTTGAGGTATAATAGTTTTAGAATGGGTACGTGCAAGCTGGGACAGTGATGTAAGCAGTGAGCGATTGTCTGTGTTGAAGATGTGTAGGCATCCTTGAAGAGCAACTTTCTCGTGGTGAGTGATGGGTAACGCTAATAGCTCTTCCCCCGTGTGGACCAGGGGCAGAATGTGTCTACAGCACCCCGTTGCTGGTCGTAAGAGACGACCGAATAGGGCAACCTGTTTGCCGTGGGTTGCGCCCCTGTATCGGTGAAGGAAGGGAGTCTGGTGGTTGATGGCACTGGTTCCAGGAACAGCGTTCCTTTGCTCAATACGCCACTTCATCCCTGACTTCACCTGGCCGGTTTGTAGAATGGGCGCGATTCCATCAATCGGCTGGTCATGGCATACCCCGAGCATGGTTCACTGGAATTTATCCATATACTGATATTTCACATGGTAAATTTGGAAACCACCAAATTTGCCATATATTACATTTTTGTCTAGAGTCCTATACCAGAAGGCGGTGATCCATGGGTCAATCTAGAATTAATGACCTCTGTCATCAGGTAACTGTCTAGGGCCGATCTAGCATTCTGATCTTTCATACTGTCAGTGGAATCGATGGCGCGCCCCTCAGAATCTCTTGAAGGCATTTGCTGAACTGTCAAACATATAATTACTCGTCTCCGATCTGGT